AGAAGATGCGACCACTGGAACAGTGGTGCTATTTTCCTGACGTTTCGGATTCCGTCGGGAATCCCTAAGCATCGGTAATGGCAGGATAATCGGAGCCATGCACAGATAAGGATCTGGTATTTGACAATTGGATGCCAAAAGCAACAAAATACAGTAGAACCTCGGTTAACGAGTTTAATTCGTTCCAGCACCGAGCTCCTCATGTGAAACGCTCGTTTTGCGAAACGCAGCCAATGAAACTGCATCAGTTCACTGAGTGGCTGCGGCGGACACACACACAGGCAACTGACAGCTCATTGACTGGGCGGAACCTCGTCAATCAAAACAAATTTTCTGCTAGAGGCTCGCTCGTTACTTTAAATGCTCGTCTCCGAGACTAAATTGAGAATGTTTAATACAGTTGTTGAGGGTTACGCGGCGTAACTCCAAATATACTGAGGAACTGGCCTTTTACTTAAACCACGGTACATATAAAGGCATTCGGAAGGTGAATACAGTGCAAACCTCCATTACTGTGTGTGTCTTGACATACTCGCTCGCTAGAGAGAACTCGTCTAAGTCGTTTTAGAAGAAAGATCTACAGTGAAATTTAATATTCAAAGAAAGACTTGGACAGAAAAACACCGCCTGCTGAATTTAAAAAAAACGCACCCAGTTAAGCGGAGTCAGACTGCCCGTGCACGGAGCTCCGCATAGAACGAATTCCAACCCGTATCAGCAGCATGCACAATTAATGCTCCCTCGGGCGTTATTTTTGCTTCGGTCGCAAAGTCATTTGCTCGATAATCTAGGGTCCAAATAACGCTGCTAATGATCATAAATCAGGAGAATAACGGTTGTATGACTTTTTTTAGTGCATGCCCGATGCAAAGACTGTGAGAGCGCGGCTTGTACAATTCAGAAAACGTTCAAACCAACACATATATGATGACACGTGGGGCACACGTTAGATGGAGACTGTACGTCCGACCAATCGCTGCAGCCAACCTTAACTTCAATCGGCTGGACCCGGATATGCCGCTTATGGGGCAGAGGGGGACGAGAATGAAATAGTTTCCCAGCGGATGCAGCGCTATTTCCTACATTATTGGCAATCAATGCACGTTAAATGGTTAAATATATAACAGTCGTCGTTTCGACTGTTGTCAACTGACTGCATAACTCTCGCCGATAGGATTGTCTTTAGAAGTCTTACTTGCCTTTGACTTATAATAATAACAACCTACTTTTACATTTTGCACTAGCCCGACTTTCCCGTTTTTCCGCCAATATAAGGTCAAATTTCCCCTTTTTCGATAAATTCCATCAATATAAGGTCAAATTTCCATAAATAGGCATAAGTTTCCTGAGAAACAGGAGTTTATGTTGATGGAGTTAATTCTATTTAGCTCATTCGAACAACTGTGTGTGACTTTAATTTAATGTTTTTGGTCATTTTTGACACAATTAAGCATACACAATATAAGCCTGCAGTCGGACCAATCAGATAGTGTCCGCAAGCGGGTAGCGGCCGGATTGGCTTTCTGACTCATAGGAATGGCGTGGTGGAGTCCTAATCTTGGCTGCAGCTTGCGCGTCATCACGTGTACTGCATGTGGGCGGACTAGTGGGGTGGCGCAGGGAACGAGTCGGTTAGGCTGGGCCCTAACACAGTGCCGATTCTGAAAGCTTGCAATGGAACATTTATGCGAGCTAAGAACATACTCACTCCTAAAGCTAGTAGCATAGGTTCAAGGGCCTGCGTATGCAGTCAACGCAAAGTCCTCCGCGGTGGATTTCACAAAGATTATCTAAATTGGCCATTTTAAAACACGATGGAAGAAATAGGACTAGCCCCCTCGATTATGGGGAGAACACACAGGTGTCAGCAAAATACAGTTCGCTAGTTATGCTCTTTGGGGAACTGCCGGAGTAGTAGTGGAACGCACAGCAATAAAACGATCAACCGGAAGTTTCACTCGAGCGGTAATAAATAGGACAATAACTTTACCGGCTCGGTATTAGAACTAATTGAAATGTGTTCGCAGGCATAATGATGCTAACTTTCTCATTAAACAAGCGCCAATTGCATTTATATTTAGCCTGCTTCGCCAAAGGTAACCCATAAAGCAGAGGTCGGGAATATCTTTGACTCAGAGAGCTAAGAAAGCAAATATTTGAAAATATATTTCGGAAGAGCCATATGATATATTTTAAGATTGAACTCAATTAAACGTGAGTATAATAAGCCTCTGAGTTTATTCTTTTAAAATTATGTCTCGACGCTGGCACGTCATTGGAGGAACCAGAATCACAAAATTTGAAGTTTCTAATTCTAATTTTATCCGAGAGAGCCAGATGCAATCCCCAAAAGAGCTACACCTAGCTCGCGAGCCATACGTCCTCGACCCCTATCATAAAGGATCAACCAGCTGCATAAATGGCCCCCATGAGCGCGCTTCCTCAGTGCCAGCGCGATCGTGCAAATTTTTTGTGAACCCGGCTCTCCAAACGGTCTTATGTAGGGAAATCTCGTCTACAGGCTTAAAGCTTGACGTACGGACGGTCAGTTGATGGCTTCAAGAAGGACTCTGGCTGGCTGGCGACCAAATGTCACGATGACAACAAACGAAAATAACAAAAAGTTCAAATGATCCTGATGCCTTTAAGGCAGAAATAAACATCCAGACAGCAACAGAAAGGTGGAAAGAAACGGGTATACTCACCGGATGTCTGTCGGGCATAGTACTCGTATGCGTAGCAGGCGTACATAAAAGCCTGGCTGGTGGTGTTAATAAAGAAGTTGAACCAGGTCAGAGGGACAAACGCATCCACCAATTTCCACTACAAGACAAACAAGGATTATAGCCCAAATTTCATACAGGGAAAAAAAGGCAAACAGGATATAAAAACAGCGAGAAAATTGTATAAGATGGAACTGATGCATGGAAGTAGTCAAGATCTAACAGTTACCGTATGGTCAAAACAAAGCAGACTAAAGTTGTAACCTAGAAAGGAAATAGAAAAAAAGAACTGACTGATCAAAAGCGAGTCCACTTTAGAAGTATCTAACGATCTTGAGAATATAGTTTCTTGGTTGTCATGCGCAGAGACGACTACAACCATACTTCACAGTCAACGCTTCCGATCGGCTTATCCGATGCCCGGCTGTTGCACAGGGCACATTTAGGTTATGCAGGGGAGGAAGGCCTCCCAAGCTTCTTTGAGGCTGATGATGTTCAGTCCAAACCACAGACCATACTGTAACTCGTCAGTCTGGG